ACTAGTTAAAGGGGGTTCAAACATTCGAAAATGCATATTATAATTTTACACATACATGTAACATATTATAATTTTATCATAAATATTTATATATTTAATAATTTTTATCCGTCACAACAAACATTAAGTTCTATCTAACACAATCGTTTTCTTTTTGCCTTCATCCAAGATATCTTCATCTTCTTTTTTTTTGCAAAAAGTCTGATATTTGCAATTGCTTTTAATAAAATGATATTTATATATTTCTTTGCAGATGCAAAGCACGTGCAGTTCTCTTTATTAAAATTTTGTGCTTATTTTATTTGAAGAATCTAGATCTTTTTCCAATAGAACGCACGCGTTTCAATAAAAATTGTCAAATGAGATATCTTGTGTATTAGTTTCATCACATTTATTGATATAATGTTCGGCTATTTCACTAATTTTTTAATAGTATAAGTAGAAGGTTAAAGGGAAAATAACCCATTGAATTACTATTATAATATAGTATGTTGACATTTGAAACCACAATTATTACATAATATTAATTAATTTCTAATGTATAATCTAATTTATTACCTTAACTTATCTAAATATATTGTATTCAGATTGTTATATATAGCAATTAAGAGAAAATATAATGGGGTTGCTCAATTAATTCTCGAACCGTGTTGGAGCGAACCCGTGCTTTAAAAGTACTGTGTTATAAGGGGATGGTCTCAATTTACAAACCGCGTTATAGCGAATCCGAATTATAGAAGTACTGTGTTATACAGGGGTAACCTGTTGCCGCTTAGAGGCATTATATGGCACGAGTAAATCAAATTTGGTAAAAGATCAGAGGCTGTAAACACTAATCATTTTTGCTATTCACTTGTTTTTTTCATTTGGATTCTCGTTGGTAAGTTCGTCTTGAGTCTTTTACTCTCTATTTGTTTGAGTGTTATCTATTTTTATTGAGAAGAAATAACTAATTTCATCCAGTGTTCTTTATGTGTTTGGAGCCTTTCGTTTCGTCAGAATTCATAATCCTTGCAAGCCGATTGTTTCAGACTTCAAACTGTCGACTTCGGGCGGCCTTTACATGAAAGATAATCTCACTTTTCTGAATTTAGTCAGTTTTCAAATCCACGGAGTACCTATTGGATTGTATACAATAAACTATTCCTAATGGATTTAAACAACCCCTATCTTCAACACCTGCAATTATAGTATATTATAAATATGTGCATGCTTACTGATATGCATATGCATCATCATCATTTTGGTTCATCAACATGACTTCTTAACTTTATATGTCATCGTCCTTGATACGTCCGTTTTGAGTGTTTTACTCTTCATTTGTTTGAGTGTTATCTATTTTTATTGTGAATAAATTATTAAATTAATTGCATCCACTGTTTTTATTGTGTTTGAAGTCCTTTCCTCAGCATTCATAATCCGAGCAAGCCGATCGTTCCTGACTTTAAACAACTATTGACTGATGGGCCGCCTTTACAAGAAAGTTAACCTCACTTTTCCGAATATACTCAGTTTTTAAATCATCGGAGTATCTATTAAATTGTGTACAATGAACAACTCCGAACGGGTCTAAACCCATTCAACTCATTTTATCCTCAAAACTTGATTATAGATATATGCATTCTTGCTGATACGCATATGTCTTATAATCTTAAGAGCTCATCTTATCTCATAACTTCTTAAGTTCACCTTTTTGTCGTCATCCTTAGCAAACAGATATCTAACATCCATGGCATTTAATGTATGTACACTCGAAAATTGATGTCATAGTAAAGTAGAGTACAACTTACGGCTTGAGTTTATGTTGCGTTCTAAACACGGTTTACTACAAAATTGCGGATGCGTGGGCGTATTATTCCCGCGAGCCGCACACATAGCTAGCGAATGTAGGACGAGACACTCCTAGTCACGTTGCCAATTGATTGATAAGGGTTAAATCATTTATTAATAATCTATCTTATTAATAACTTACTTTCTGGGTTTCCGTACACGAAATAGTGTTGCATGTTTATTAAGGGGGGGAGCCTGCGTTAGAGACATAAAAAAATCGCTTTTTTAGAGAATGTTTAGGGAAGAAAATAAATGTTTAATCGAAACGAAACTTTCGGGTTTTATTGTTATCTATTTCAACATTCTTCTCAATTTTTTTCATTAAAATATATGTCATATTGTGATGGGTACAAGAATTTTACCGAGGCGCCACGAACGTGCATGTGTCGTTGGGCAGAAAAGATGCAGGTCACAATTTCCATCCGAAAAAAAAAACAAAACAAATTTATATTTTCAATAGCATAGATTCTAGTTGAACCTAAAAAAATCAGAAAAAAGTGAGAAATTCATCAACTTAAAAAATAATGTTTTTTGATAAAGAATTTCATTTTAGATTGTTTGAAAAGTGGGTTGATTATGACTTTATTTAAAGATTTTTTAGGTTCAACTAGAAGAGAATTTAATCCTGAATACAATAAAGTTGTTTCGTTTCAGGTTTTTGCATGCTCGACGCCTGCTCACTATTATTTTGTATCTCCGAAAATAATTTGAATTTGGTTCTGAAATTTTAGGGATATATTCTTGGCTAATTTTGGAAGACATTTTTGCAAAAAAAAATATCGATTTTTTATGATACAAATGTTTATTTATCTGTCAGGGATTTTATTCCTAATCACCGTGCAAGGCTTATTGGGAAAAACTTGTTTCTTGTGTATATTGAGTATTCATAACCTGTTACAATTTTGGTATAAAATTGTTTGTAATTATTTATTTAATATGTAGTATGTAAATTTAATTAATGTGTATATTTGTGTCCAAGGTTGTCGGTGGTTTGTAACCACAAAGTAGCCCTTTAAATCCTATCCCGGGAGAATATAGTATTATGCAGTGGTGTTAGCTATTTTTATTTGAAATCAGAACTTTACGCCGTATGAGCTGTTGGGCTGAAACTTCTCTTTATTTCGTATCTTTAGATGGTAACCCAATGGTTAATCCATCTATATTTGATGATTTTGTTATTTGAATTTATCTAATAGGACTGACTTTTTATTGGTGGAGCAATGCCGGCTGAGGGCTATTTTTACTTGGAAACATTGCAATCTATATTTTCAAGGGAAAATCGTTGTCACTGCCGCCTGACAACACTTTGATCGAATTGCATCTCAAACCCGGGACCTCTGAATAAAGTACCGTCACTCTAAACCACTTATCTACTGGCGAGCCTATTTGAAAATACAAATCTTTTTTTTAATCTAAAATAACTCATTACACGGGGATACAAATCCTTTCGTATCTAAATAAAGAAAACAAAAGTCATAATTGTCATTTTACTATTCTTGAATTTTTAACAAAGTAAAAAAAGCAACTATTGTTCAAACAAAATTTTTAATCCTTTTGCTACGAGTGTCGTTCATGGACGACATCCATTCAACTACCCGTGTATACGAGTGTCGTCTATGGACGACATTTGCGTGGCGTGCTGTGTGTACGGATGTCGATCTTTGCTTCAAGATTCATTACTGAGTTGAGTGAAACTATTTTTCGACACAATTTTGTTGATAATGATAGAAATAATTCAAAATTATCGTTGTGCGGTAGACCCTCTCGTAGCGAAAGGGTTAAAGATGTCAAGTTGCTTTTTCAAATTATCTAAAATAGTCAATTGCCTTTTAAATAGTATAAAAACAAAATTCCTTAAAATCTGTGTTTGAGATTGCTTTAAATTAGGCCTGAGGTTATGTCAAACTATATGCAACTACTTTGCAATTGCAATTCATTACACTATACATCATTTTTTATATTAAATTCTCATTTAATATAAATTATGTATTTAATCATTTCTGGACATATAAATTTATTGAATTCTTACATGATAATAGGTCTTTCAAGAAATAAATATATTCTATTTACAGTGAATTCCATTAATATTAAGTTCTCGTTCAATTGAATATTTTGAAAGTTTATTGGATGTCGACAGCAATTCGGTTATACTGGAACTATAAATAAGAACTTATGGTCTACGAACTGTAAAAGTTTGGTGTGCGCTTACTTCCTTCGTGAAAATTTTAAGACTATGTACGTAAAAGCGGCTCCTTGCAACTCAAATGGTTTGTAGGAGGTACCTGTGGTATTATACATAATACATTTTAGACAATAAAAATAAAATAAAATTTTGCGCCGCAATAGCGACACTCGTATAAAGTTTTATGAAGATAATAAAAAGTGTCAATGTAACGAAAGAATTCTTCATATATCGGAATTGTATGACACGGTGAAAAATCAGAAAATTCTATGGCGTTGAATATTATTATACACTGAGTTATATCAACTATAAAAAGGAAACGTTAGTTTCATACAGAATGAAATATATCAGTCTGTGTTTTCAATGAAATATTTATTAATAGAACGCATCAATGAATTTATAGATTATAAATAATTCCTGTTAATAATACCTAATTCGATCATTAATTTTATACATCAATTATCTGTAATAAATCGGAATGCCAGCAATTTGTTTATTATTGCATCTAATTAAAATTTTATAGTAATTGCTAAATTACGCGATTATATCATAAAGCTGTGAATACTACTACTAAACACAAATAGCATTCTGAATTTCTGACAAATAGATATAAGTGGAAAATTTTATAATTATCATCATATTTTTTTTTTTAACGTCAATCAGAAGTAGTTGTCGTAAACCTTCTTTGTAACAATGTGCTTTATAGAAGGGCTCCGAAACGTTGTCCTATCCATATGCTATATACTTTAGTATTAGATTACATTATATTAGATATTTATGATGATTTGTTTTAAATTTTGTGCGACATTCCCCGTGAATGTCCATTTTAGATTTATAGTGAAAATTTTTAAGCTATGTTTTTAATTGAAAACGGTATCAAACCTGTTGGTTGAAAGTTCAAAGCTCACATCACTAAACTTCGGCAATCCTTTTTATCTTAATATTATATAATAGTGCTATTGTTAATTTGGGTTTTTATTATTTTCAGCTGTAAGAACTCGATCGATGAACTACTACTTAAGCCAGTGTTCAGTTAACGAGTAGTGGATCGAAGTAAGTAGAATAATTATATTATATTAATAATTCAATAGTTCATTTATTTATATGTAATTGATGAAAATTATTTTTAAAGAACTCTCTCTCTCTCTCTCTCTTTATATAAAATATGAATATATGAATATCTCTCTAAAATATGCCGCATATGAATATATGTCAATTAAGCATTATGAATTATTAAATATAATAAATCAAAATAGTCAATATTGTCACGTCGTAATAGGATAAAGTATCTCATTAATCATAGTTTATGAGCAGAATCGGCTATTTTAGTATTTCCTATTAAAATAGACAGGTTGAACATTCATCGAATTAATTATTACTGATGTATTCATTCCATTCTGCAAAACTTGTTCTCAAATTTTTGCAGGAGAAAAGACTTTTTTTCGTTATTTTTATTTGTAACAAAAATATTTAATTATTATTATCACTATATATTTATCAAATTTAATTATTCAATTTATAGGGGATATACGGACAAAATGGTATATAGGGGCAAAATTATACATAGTCTTATTTTTAATAACATTTCCGTGACTGTATTATATGAAAAAAGGTACAATAATAATTCCGTCAGATGTTGAGTGTCATTGTTACAGTCTTGTCAGTTCAAATGTATTTTGCGCCATGAAAAGTCTATTTCGAGGGTGTTATTCTCATGTTTTTTGTGGGAACTTATTTCTTGATATTCGTAATTATTTCAATCAAGTACTAGCGGTTTCGATCAATTTTATAGCAATAATCATGTACATAGTTATTGATAAGGATTAATTATTCGATTTTGTTCAGTTTCGGACAAAATGAAATACTTACACAAAGGACAAAATGACCATAGTACTGTTTTGCAATTATGGTTCAAGAAAACAAATTAAAACCTGTGGAAAGTGATTGGCTTTTAACTTTTTCTCCAAGTATGCAAGATATAATTGCCAAAAACAGACAAAAAATTCATCGGTAAATGAAGAGACTTGCATTTGTTGCAAAATGCTTCATGTGAACTGCTTACTCAAAAATTAGAATCTCAATACATTTTTACCCTGTATGCCATTACCTTGTTTGTCCGTACTATATGGACAAAATGGTTTTTGTAATAGGTTGCATATTTTCTTAATATATATTTATAGTTCCTACTTAATTAAAATACTATCTTACTGGTAGTCAATGAACCAATTATGAGTAAAAACGATTGAGGCATTAAAAAGTAAAACACGAGATCGTTTTGTCGATACTTTCCAATTATATTTATAACACGAATTTATTATAATTATTTAATTCAGCATTAATCAAATATTTGTTTTAAATAATTACCTACTGTGAGGGTTAATTATTGAAATTTGAATTATTACTATTTTGAAATACATGATTTTCATTACTCTGATTTTATATGTCGGTATTATATATAGATTCACATAATGATACTTTCCTGAATATTGTTCGTATTTGCTTACACCAATAATTAGAATGGAACTTTCATTCACATTAGATTCAATATTTAAGGAACCGTGGGTGAATAATTAGGCGAGTTCATCAATTTGTGTACCAATATGATTTGAATTATTTAGAAGCAAACGACAAGCGCTTTTGTTTGTTCGATAGTGCATCTACATATGAAACCAATTATTAATTTTGTCCAAATATAGCTTTATTATAGACATATCGAATATTTCATTGTTCCTTCTGGGCGTATGTGACGTTTTATTGATAGATTAAATATTTATACATACCTCCCCATTGTTACAGTTGCCTCACGTAGTCTTGATCAGCAATTTCGAACCTTTTCTCTCTTTCCTCTAGCGCAAATAGCTTTCTGTTATTTGGTTCACTTATTTCTTGTTATCGATATCTGCAGACTGTTGTATATTTTATCAGGACTTTGTGACATAAAAAACAGGAGCACGATCAAATCTTCTCACAATCAAACGTAATTCGATACTGTATATAAAATTGAACAGTTTATAAAATATGCTGTTTATAAGATATGCTTATATATAAGAGTACGTCTTATTTTTGGAAAGGTTATTTTTCTTCCAATTATCACGTTGCCATGTAATATTATTCATTTAATTAGATAATTAAGGGATTCTTATTGTTAGAGACTCGTTTTTTACATGTTAATCATTCAACTCAGGATAGGGTGAGGCAGGTTATGATAAATTTGAAGCTTTCATATTAATTATTGGAATTGTTTTTTTAGTAAAAAACATTTGGTTCCAATTACACACAGCATTGGCATACTATACTATATATACTATCGTGCTATAGTTTAAATAAAGACATAAATTTATTTTCAACATACTTCGATTATAGAAATAACATTTGGCTGACGAAAAATCATTTCTAGAAGGTGGTGGATTGTGCTGTGCTTTTGAAAAACTTGTTTTTGTGAAATATACAGATTTCTTCTGCTCTTATTTCTATGGGTTTATGGGATTTTTGGGGCCCTTATTTCTATGGGTTTATGGAGCTTCTCAAAATACTGAAATACGAAAATGATTTAAATATGTCTGCCCTGCGACCTTCCACCTTTTTGGAATTCAACGGTTGAAGTTTGTGTGACTTGTTTTAAGTAAGAATGGATTAATTGAGTTTTCAATAGTGCAAAAATCACTCGATTTGTATTGAAAGTGTTTAAAGTTCATGGGGGTTGGTTATGAAAATACAGTAAAAAGAATGAGTACCAGAAATGTATCTTTGACATAGATACATTTTATCTAAATATTTACATTACACTACATTGATCATAACAATTTGTATAGTTTTCCACAAAATTACAGTTTTTTGCTCAATTAATATATCCAATTGAATAAATTTTGAAGTTGCATTTTGAAAGCATCTGGTAAGCTGGTAAAAGCGAATATCGGATGATATTCACTGAATATAAGACACGAATCTTTGATCGTTAATTATTTTGTCAAACATATTTTGTAAATAAAATTTAATAGATGATTTTTTAAATTCTATCAATTTTATCAATGCTGTCTATTCCCATCTCCTTGATTTTTGGATATATAAATGGATAAATGGATATATCCTTGTGGATAATTTAAATTCACTTTATCTATTTTTCTACATAGCAACCGTATATGGAAATCTAACTGAATAAATTACTCTAAACAGTTATCGGATCTTTTAGGAAAAGTGATACTTGAAGAGGGAAAATATAAAAGAAAAGGTACTTTGGCATGTCCGTGTCCAGTGTTGCGTAAATATTTCATAAAGGATTTATTTCTACATCATAGTGCTTATTGGGACTTATTTTTGCGACCCGAATTGAAAAGGAACTTATTATAACATATTACAATTCTAAATCGTAATATATAATTCGTGTATTTTTCTGTAGAATTATATTACTAGTAATCGTCATTGAGGTTCATATTAATAATTTTAACTTGATTTTTATATATTACGTTTTCGTGTTGTTTTCGTCTAAAACTGGAGATGTAACTCTGTACATATTTAATATATTAATTTTTAATAAAATATTCTGAACAAAGTTCTAAAAAAATTCAATAATAAAGTGTATTCAACTAGTTATGATTTTTGACATTTGCTCCAATCTTTAAATTAAGTGCAGCGTCTTTCAACTGATATATTCCAACTTGGAGACATTTCAATTTCGAGTCTTAAATGATTTTCATATTCATTTTATATATCCTAATAAAATGAATATTCAAAGTGTCAAAGTGTAATTTGTAGTCAAAATTTAGTTAAAACTATGTTGAATGACTTCATGCAATTTTCTTAAAAGCGTATTTTTCCCGGAAATATGGTTGTAGAAATGTAGAAATACTACTTTAAATGTACGACAGTAAATTAGTAAGGTTGCTTCTTACTTACGCTATATGAAACATGCCAAGCTTTTTACTTATTGTATAGGGAATTTTTAATTTAAATTTATTATTGTCTGATAAATTAGAAAATACTAAAAAGGGAAGTCTTTGTATCCGAGAAAGCGTTAAAAATTGTCGAAATGATTTTATTAACTACTGATTATTAGCGTTTATCAAACATAAAAAATAGCAAAAAAAACATTAAAATTTAAACTTATTTTATCAATATTTATTACCTATGCCTTCAGCCACAATTTATTCGATTTTGTATTTAAATATAATTATCTGTATTCTTTTGTTTGTTTATTTTGAGATCTTACCCAATTAGAAACTGTTATGGTAAACCTTTATTCTTAATTAATGAATCAAGCATTATTTCCAGTTTATACATGATCCAACAAAGGTTTTTAGAGCCAAACAAAATGATAAAATATTGGATTTCATCGGAATTAATGTCGAAAGCGGCTTGTTTGGCTCCACTCCCTTTCGACGTGTACCCGTCCTTTATTTTCAACTGATAACTGGTATCATATCATAAAATAAAACTGAGTTGGGTAAATAATTAAGTGATAATTTTTTATATTACTCGAACTCTAAGGGCTTCAACTTTTTCATATTTTGCGGTTTAAAATGCTAGTATTACTCAATATCATTTGATTTTATATTTGAACTGATATAATTATATATTAATGAATTATATAATTAAATTTGGTTTTGTTTTTTTTTTGTTTAAATGCCGCAATTAGTCTATGGCTTCAACGAATAAATAATTCATACATTACGCTACGTGATAGTAATTTATTTTACTGGTGTTATGATGGCTTTTAAGTAATTTGAGAACACTGGTTCCGCAAAATGTAACAAAACAGCTTTAGTTTTTTACATATGCCAATGAGCTAGTTCTAGCTCAAATAACAATAAAAAATTTATTTAATGACTTTAAAAGTCTCTTTATATGATTTTACAACAATTGTCAATCATCATGTGGATGTCCTACCTACCACTCTTGATAATGCTCCTTCATAGTCTTGATGGATGTCTTGGTGGATTTTCTCTTTCTGTGTTTCGCTATCATTTCGGAGTTTTTCCAAAAAACTTTCTAAATGAGAGTCTGCGGAATGAATATTGATGCTCATGTGGCATCCTACATTTTTTAAATTGTATTGC